TTACGCAATCACAACTTTATCTATTTATAGCGTCTTCTCCCGTTTGCATCCAAGACACATGTGGTAGATAAAGTAGATTTCATCTGTTTCAGTGACGACGGAATACAAGGAGAAAATGTGGTGAGCGACATGCCCGGCCGCCTTTGTTTCCACAACGTGAGTCGGGTACCCATCGGAGGCCGGGATCCGAACTCAAGACATTCCGGTTAGCAGTTTAGCGCTCTACTACCACGCCATCCCTACAAATATATGTATATATATATATATATATATATATATATATATATATATATATATATATATATATATATATATATATATATATATATATATATATATATATATATATATACATATATATATATATATGTATATATATATATATATATATATATATATATATATATATATATATATATATATATATATATATATATATATATATATATATTGTTACGACTGTGGGGTCGTAGATTACAGGGGTAGGGTTGACGATAGACGTGACCCAGACTAAACAGGTCTTGACGAAGACGATTAGCGGTGCACGTGTTACAATTAGATTGTAATTACGGACAACGGCATCATCAATGGGGGTAGGTGTAGCAGACACGTATCTGTTGGCCTGGGTGACCGTGATGGGGGTAGTTTATTAGCAGGGTCTGACACTTTAATCAGGCACGACAGAACTGTTGGCGACATGTAAATTAGGTTAGACCGGATGGGGAAGACAAAGAAGTTAGGACTAGGAGGGTTAAGACAGTCAGGGTACGGCAGCTCACCAGTGATGACGTGTAGTTGTAGATAGTATAGTTTAGAATAGGTGGTAGGATTTTTGTGTTGTATTTTGATGGCGGTTACTTTTCAATATATTGTATCTCTGTTGTAAAGATTAAACTTACGTTGTTATTTAAAAAAAGGTGTTCGTTAGATTTAACGTGTGTTCTTGTCTACCTCCCCTCCTAAATCGAAAGATCTAGGTAGATCGGGTCGTAACAATATATATATATATATATATATATATATATATATATATATATATATATATATATATATGTATGTATGTATGTATGTATTTTGTATGTATATATGGTATATATATGTATATATGGTATATATATATGTATATATATATATATATATATATATATATATATATATATATATATATATATATATATATATATATATATATATATATATATATATAGACCATATATACATATAAATGGGTTTTAGGTGTTTGTTCGTATAGGGGTTTTGACCATTGGTTGTTTGACCACAGTGAGGTTTTGACCACTGGGGCACATATTGGCAAAGGAAACTGTTCTATATATTGTATTTGTAACATTACATTTTGGTTAAGAAACACAAATACTGTGCTACAGTACCCATCTCTGGTATCAATACCCACCCCCTGAGTTACTAGTGACCACCTCCTCTGCTCCTAACACCCACCCCTATGGTAGCTGTCCACACCTCTCGTTCGCATAAGCCTACGCCAAAGTTTATTTGACCCTTTTGTGTATGAATTTATTTAATTTTTATTTTGAGGTTTAATGAAAATCTCAGCCTATTTAACTTGTTAAAGTGGTCATCAAATTGATCTATTTTTTATGAAAAATTATCAGTGTTGAAGTCCCTGTATGCATGAGTGTTTTGCTTAATGTCTTTGACTACTATTCGTCCGACTTTTTAACTCGAATGTTTATTATAGATTAAACTGTGTGTTATACCCCTATGAAAGACCATAATAAAAAAATTTATCGAACGAATTCAGAACTTCATAAAGCCCATGATAAACAAAAAAAAGTAACAATCTCACGAAATCAAAACTTCATATCAATTAGATGATGCTGACGGAAGCAAGCGTCACTATTTTCTATACATCGACTGTAAGTAGCAAGATGGCTAATGAACCATTTGAAAGACACGTTACGGCTGATTAAGCATGTCGATAATTACTTAAAAGCCTTGAGTGCTGTTTATAATCCATTCCTTGGCCCACGAAAATGTTCTATGTACAAGGTCAATAAGTCCATATTACCATGTTTTATTTTAGAGATAGTGGGATCGAAACTAGATCACACCGATAGTACCGTCAAAATCCCGGGGTGAGTTCCGCACCGGGTGACACCATTTAGGGAGGGGGGTGAAACCAAATTGGAAACTCGCAAACATTACTGTCAAAATAACGTTTTATCCCGTTTAAATAATAAAAGAGTTTGGAAGAGGGGTGACACCAAACCAAAAATGTAGACATTGTACACAAATATATCAGTAGAAAAATAAACACACCAATTTATCGGTAGGAGAAAAACAAAACACAACAATATATCAGCAGAACAAATACAAAACACACCAATATATCTTTAAAACAAAACACAACAATATAGCAGTAGTATAAATACAAAACACACCAATATATTTGTAGAACAAATACAAAACACACCAATATATCGGTAGGAGAAAAACAAAACACACCAATATATCTGTTAAACAAAACACACTAATATATCTGTTAAACAAAACACACCAATATATCTGTTAAACAAAACACACCAATATATCTGTTAAACAAAACACACCAATATATCTGTTAAACAAAACACACCAATATATCTGTTAAACAAAACACACCAATATATCTGTTAAACAAAACACACCAATATATCTGTTAAACAAAACACACCAATATATCTGTTAAACAAAACACCAATATATCTGTTAAACAAAACATCAATATATCTGTTAAACAAAACACACCAATATATCTGTTAAACAAAACACCAATATATCTGTTAAACAAAACATCAATATATCTGTTAAACAAAACACAACAATATATCTTTAAAACAAAACACAACAATATAGCAGTAGTATAAATACAAAACACACCAATATATTTGTAGAACAAATACAAAACACACCAATATATCTGTAGAACATAAACAAAAAACACCAATATATCTGTAAAAAAAACACAACAATATATCAGTACAACAAATACAAAACACAACAATATATCAGTTCAACAAAAACCACCAATATATCAGTACAACAAATACAAAACACACCAATAGGCCTATATCTGTAAAATAAAACACACTAATGAATAAAATAAAACAAACATCACAGAAGTAAAAGAAAACAAAAACATCAGACAACAGTGTGTTAGCCTGTAGAGAAAAAAAAATCCTTAAATGACATGCTACAATTAGCCCAACGGTCGGTCCACTCCCAGAGTGTACTCAACTAATTCACTCAACTAATTCACACACTGGCGCCTAATGACTGTCATTACCGTGTATTAATAATGACCACGTGACTAACAAAGCAACAGGAGAGAGAAAAAATTTGTTGACAAGTTATTTTTTCTCACGTCCGGCGTTCTCACCATGGGAAGGGGGAGGGAGAGAGGAGGGAGGGGCGAGTGGAATTTGACAATGTTTTAGAACCTGTGACAGCTGCATGAAATATGGAGGAAAACATGACAACATGTCGACTGTTTTCGAAACATGAGATGCGATCGGTTTGGGGGGAAGTGGGAGGGGGGTGGTAATTAGCTTAATTTAGCGTAATTTTTTAACAACAACGACAGCTATTTTATGTAATATTAGTTTATACTAGTCATATTCCTTAGGTTCACATGTTTCTTGTAACCACCTCGGTTAGATTCAGCAAGTTTTATTATCGCAGTAAGAGAGAAAATAACAAAAAATGGGAGACAACTGAATTCGAAAATCGAGAATAAAAGTGCTTATAAATGCGTAGCTAAACACCACTACATATGGCGCTACCATTAGTGGGTATGTAAATCAGTGGAACTAATTACAGCGGTCCCAATCAGTTTAGTATTACAATAACAGGTTTGCGATCGGGCCCTGATAGTTAGATAACAGGATAACATTATTCATCGTTTAGCAAGAGCAGGATGACATTATTCATCGTTTAGTAAAATGGTTTTACACCAAAGTACTACATTTCTTAATCATGTTAACGCTATTTGGATTTATCTGTTAAATTCATATTTTAAAAATACAAAAATTTGTTTTCAATTTAACATTTTTGGTAGAATGTACTTTATCGCAAGACTAGCTCGCAATTTATTATTTTGTTTTTTTTTTTTAATTGAAATTGATAGAATTTGATTAACACTGTGTCCATGTGTGTAGGGTACAGCTAAATCAAGTTTATAACCACAACAATAATACAAAAATATCTAACCCAATCCAGTATGGTACAGTTCTAGCAGGTTTAGAACCACTACAGTACAATATAACTAAATCACTCCAAGTATGGACCGAGCAACCCCCCCCCCCCCCCGAACGAAATGAAATTAATATAGAAAATATATACTTTTAACAGAGTCGTCGTCCGCCCCCCCCCCCCCCTCGAGGAAAAATAATACAACTCCATCCAACCCAACAGTAGGGTACAAATTATGCAAGTTTAGAACCACTCCCCAAATATAACCCCCTCCAACCCAACAGTAGGGTACAAATTATGTAAGTTTAGAACCATTACATAATACAACTCCGTCCAACCCAACAGTAGGGTACAAATTATGCAAGTTTAGAACCACTCCCCAAATATAACCTCATCCAAACCAATCCAGTAGGGTACAAATTATGCAAGTTTAGAACCACTCCCCAAATATAACCTCATCCAAACCAATCCAGTAGGGTACAAATTATGCAAGTTTAGAACCACTCCCCAAATATAACCTCATCCAAACCAATCCAGTAGGGTACAAATTATGCAAGTTTAGAACCACTCCCCAAATACAACCCCATCCAACCTAATCCCAGTTTTAAAACAAAAATTGTCCCGGGACATAATGGCTCTAGTAAATGTCACCGCTTAAGTTCCACCTCACGCCATCCGCTGTGCTGCGCATATGATGTGTAAATGCTAGTGTGTAGTGTGTTCATTCATGTCGTAGTATATTCCTTCAACACATTCACAGTGAGCAGAGTTAAGGATGTGTTTGAATCTTTGTGTAGAGAACATTAAGCAAGTCTGATGAGTTTCTTAAGATAGATCAAGGTCCGGTTTTTGTTCATTGAAGGTTTAGTGAATGTCCAGTCTTAATTTCCATGAGTGTCCGGTCAGTTTCCAGCCCTAGTTCCATGAGTGTCCGGTCAGTGTACGGTGCCGGAAGTGTCTGAAGATGGGCATGACGTGTCGCAGAGAGCCGGCTGGTCACGTGTCGACCGTGCTGCAGATCTCCGGGTACTGCCTGTTCTGGGTGGGCGTCTTGTCCAGGTCCTGGAGATGGGAGATCGGGTACCTGTACGGCCTGTGGCTCAGGTGTGACCAGGACGCCTGCGTTCACCTGTCTGCTGGATTACAGTGTAGGTCTCGTTCTGTGTTCGTAGCTTGTTCGTCAAGTCTGTTTCATTAATAGCATCTTCAGCATCATCATCATCATCATCATCATCGTCATCGTCATCATCGTAAAACATCTCTGATATTGTAAAGTCCTTTTCATAATATTCCTCTTCTTGCATGTATCATCTTTTGCACAATCAACCACTCATTATCAACCAAACACCTCATCATCAACCACACTCCACATCATCAACCACACTCCACATCATCAACCACACTCCACATCATCAACCACACTCCACATCATCAACCACACTCCACATCATCAACCACACGCCACATAAATCAACCACACAGCTTACCACCAACTACAATCATTATCAACCACACTCCACATCAACATACACTCTCCACACTCCTCACTCCACATCACCAACCACACTCAATATCATCCACACTCCACATCACCAACCACAATCCACATTAACAACCACACTACGCCTCATCAACCATACTCCACCTAATCCACCTTACTCCAGCGAATCCACTTCACCCCACCATACCCGCCACATTCCCCATTAACCACCCTCCTCTTTCACTGACCTCTCCCCTGCAACTCACACGCGCCACCTCCTCCACCAGCTTTTCATTTGACGTCAAGTACTTTTTTTAAAAAAAGCGTAAATAAAAAATGAAAAGTGCCTTAACAAAAAAATGAAACCAAAAAAAAGCCTCAATAGTTTCGTTTTTTTTCCTAGGCAGTATTTTATCCATACTTCTTAAGTACGTAAATGTATTTGTTTATATTTTCCTCTACATCCAAAAAAGCACATTAAATGTGTAAACAATCAATTTCTCCGTGCATACCTGTGTGACCTTGACCTCTCCACAGCCTACCTGCTGCTTGTCCGATGCGGTATCGCCATCAGCGTCGTGCTCTTCACGGTCAACATCATCTGTCTACTACTGGAGGCCATCTTGAGGCTGTCTGATGTCCACGTCAGACAGGTCACTAGGTCAGCCAATGTCGGCTGTCTGGCCGCAACGTTTGGGGGTAAGTTGACCAGCTTAGTCTAGAACCTAATTTTAAGAAAAACGTTCGCGTTAATAGGATTTAGCCTCATCCTAATCACCCCCCTCCCAAATTATAATTATCGCAATATGAGCTTAATTGAGAACTTCCTTAATTAAGAGAACTCCCTAGATTTAGAACTCCCTTAATTAAGAGATTCCTTAATTAAGAACTCATTAAAATTAAGAATTCCCTTATTTAAGAACACCCTTAATTCAGAACTTCCTTAATTAAGAACTCCCTTAATAAAGTAGACCTACTCCCTTAATTAAGAACTCCCATAATTAAGAACTCCCTTAATTAAGAACTCCCTTAATTAAGAACTCCCTTAATTAAGAACTCCATTAAGCTCGAAATCAAACTCCTGGCTCGGCTCTAGTTGCTGGAAACTTATGGATGATATGGTGATTTTAAGCTGAACGATTTTTATTTACATGTATCGGGCTGTTCAAAGCCTATGTTAACAGGTGTTTATTTACATGTAACGTCCTTTACATAACCAGGGTTTCTTTCGGCGGTGTGCTCTGAAACTCTCCGGGTGGGGTGAGGGCAGACTTAAATTTTCGTAGGGAGGGGGGCGGGACTGGTTTGTTTAAGTTTACATTTTTGATATAAAATATTTATATTTTCTATCTTTTTCGAAGATATGCCTGAAAGAAACTCTGTACAGAAATGTTAAACTATGCCCATGTGATTTCTCCCCAGCTATCCTGTCCTTCTGATCTATAACTCATGTTAAACTATGCCCATGTGATTTCTCCCCAGCTATCCTATCCTCCTGATCTATAACTCATGTTAAACTATGCCCATGTGATTTCTCCCCAGCTATCCTATCCTCCTGATCTATACCTCATGTTAAACTATACCCATGTCATTTCTCCCCAGCTATCCTGGCCGCCTGCTCTCTTGGCCTCTACGGCTGGAACACCGTCATGTTGAGGGAGAGGTCGCCGGTTCTGCTCTGGGGGTTCGGCGCCACGGGAACCAGCGTCATCCTCCTCCTGCTGGGCAACATCCTCAAGGTCATGGGCCCGGCGTCGTCATGGCAACGAGACTTCCCCTGCCTCGCCTCCAGGAGGTGCGGCGGGGGGCGTGTGGCGGGGGGTCTGTACTGCTCCACCTCGGCCGACTCGTACCTGACCCAGCGGGGGTCGGTGAACGCCGCGGCCAGCCCGGGGGTAGACAAGCGCGAGCTGGTCCCGTGCTGCCGCCAGGTGTCGCTGCCCTCCTCCCACACCTCCGACACCAACTACCGCCACTACGAGGAGATCAGCTTCGACGAGATGCCCGCGCCCCCGCCGGAGATTTTATACCAGCCCCCCTGGGGCAACACCCACGAGTACTTCGTGCTTCAATCGGACTACCAAACGCCCCCGCCCGTCACGCAGTACTCCGTCGCTTCCGTTACCCTCTCTCACCAAACAGGCTCTCAAGCTGTAGGTTCAAATCCTACCTGGAACGCGAACGTGGAACCTCGAGGCTCGGTAAGATACGCTGAAGCCCACGTAGCCGGCAATTTCCGGCACCCGTCCCACAAAACATTAGACCGGACGTACGAGAGGGCAGCGCTGGTCAACAGCAACAACTACAGAACAATGCCGTCCATCGGGGTCTCGTCCAAATACCAGCACAGGCGACTTCAAGAGGCGTCAGGATATACCCAGTACTAGTTTGTGTGAATACACTATTTAAACATTCACATCGTTCATTTCATTTGCTAACTTTTCATTGGTTAACAACTAATTTTAATTTCCACTACTTAATGCTCTGTTAAAAATAACCAACCAAAACTGATATCGACGAATCATTTGGGTTTTTTTTTACCAATTCTGCTGCAATGGCCCTCTGTTAAAATATAAACAATACTCGCTGGAACGTTTGCAATACGTAGCCATCACGAGTAATGCGTTTTCGGCTGTTTAAATTTTCATCGACCTGCAAATTTTGGCTACCTATGGTGCACTGTTAATATTTTATCAAAATGTGTACAACGATCACTTGATTTTGACGTCGACATTAAATCGTGAAGATTTTTTTTTAAACTAAACCGATCCTGTTTGTGTTTGCTAAATAAATAATTGTTGTCTGTTTCTCGATCGAATTCCAATTACCATGTTGTGCCATGTTTGAGTGTCAAAAACAATTCGATTTTTGTTCCGTAAAAATCTTGCCACTTTTTACTTTCTTGTATACAGAGTATAGAGAAAGTATTGTAATCGTGCATAAAAATCAAATGAAATTTCGACAATTTTCGTCGTTTTACACTTCCCTACTTTATTTTATACGAAATATAATGAATGTTTTGTAATCGCGAAAAAAATCTTAATCGAGATTTTGACAAATTTTGACGTTTTACAACCTTTTGGTGTCAGAAAAGGTTAGTTTTGCAAACCAGTTCGTATGCGTGTGTGTCTACAAACACGATACCTTAGTACCAATTATGTTATGTGGACCAAATTTCATGTACAAGTATTATATCAAATGTATAGTTTTCTATCGACTTCTCAGCAAATTCCGATAACCGGAAGTGCTACTTACTCTACTTCCGGTCTTTTTAAAGCCGATAACTCAAGTATTATTAAAGTTGGCTAGACAAAATGTTACATTTAAGTAGTAAATTTTATGCGCAGGTTTCTATCAACTTTTAACGATTTCTGCTAATTGCAAGTGGTAATTTACTCAATTTCCGTTAAAACACAATAACTTGAGAACTGTTCCAGTTACGTTTAAGTAATTTTATATACAATTAAACGATCTTATACTTAGATCACTTTCAATTTTCGAGTGACTTCCGATATCCGTGTTACCTCTATTTCTGTTTTCTAAAAATACTAAAAAACAAATAACTTGAGTACTGTTTCAGTTAGCTAAACGGAATTGCATACGCATGTACCTGATCATATTCGCTAATATCTGTCGAATTTTTAGTGATTCCCTTTGAAATTTCCGCTATTTCCGATTTCTTAAAAAAGTAATGAATGTTTCCTTTAAGGAGTAGGTTACAGTTATTCTCTTCTATTGTATTTATACTCATATGTTTTCATTCATTTGGTGCACATCTTTTTTTTTGCGTGCGATTCTTTTATGTTTAAAATAATTAATTTTGTTTAAATTAATAAAAATCGTTTCACAGCCCTATGTAATTAAGAATATACAAGAAAGTTTAGGGAAGATCACTATCATTTTATTTATTTTTGTATTGTTTTTATATTTCTCATTGAAAATAATGAACAATTTATTCATCATAAAAGTACATTAATATATTTTATGTTATAGAAGTATTCAAATTTGTATGTAGTCGACTATGTTGAAATATTAAAATTTCAAACGACCCTCAGTTTTATTAAAGTTGAATATTTTCTACATTTTTCTCAAATTATTATTTACATAGATAGGTGTTTGTAAGTATTAAATATTTAAAACTATAAAATACTTTTAAGTAAATCAATTAAATAATGTACATTCCTCTATAAAAAGTTACTATTTTTATTTTCGTTGCATTGTATTTTCTTTCTGAGATGAAATATGAAATATATTAATTTTGCTTTTTTTTTTGTATCTTTAAATAAAGAATAATGTATATGTCTTTAGAATTCTAATTATTTTATGATCCCATATGAAAGGGACATCACCCAGAGATCAAGCGACAGAGATGTTTTGTAATGTTGTCACTGATAGACATTGCCGTCAAGTCACATTTTGTCACACACCCCTCTTTTTTTTCTGCGCTTCTCACAATGTGTCACATTTTGTCAGACACCATTCTCGTTTTATTCGCTTGTGGTCAATGTATCTAACCTGTTCAGACCCTTCTCCTCTACTTGTCACAATTTGTCAGCATCTGTCACCATTTGTCACTATTTGTCACCATTTGTCACCATGTGCCACTATGTGTCACTATTTGTCACTACTTGTCACCATTTGTCACCATTTGTCACCATTTGTCACTACTTGTCACCATTTGTCACCATTTGTCACTACTTGTCACCATTTGTCACTATTTGTCACTATTTGTCACCATTTGTCACTACTTGTCACTATTTGTCACCATTTGTCACCATGTGTCACTATTTGTCACCATTAGTCACTATTTGTCACAATTTGTCACTATTTGTCACCATTACTAACTATTTGTCACCATTTGTCACCATTTGTTTGTATAAAGCGATGACTGAATGTCACATTGATGGGACCATCAAATGTTACAGTTGTCACATTGATGTGACCATCAAATGTTACAGTTGTCACATTGATGGGACCATCAAATGTAATAGTTGTCACATTGATGGGACCATCAAATTTTATAGTTGTCACATTGATGTGACCATCAAATGTTACAATTGTCACATTGATGGGACCATCAAATGTTACAGTTGTTGGCCTCGATACTCTGCTGTCACATTGATGGGACCATCAAATGTTACAGATGTCACATTGATGGGACCATGAAATGTTAGAGTTGTCACATTGATGGTACCATCCAATGTTACAGGTGTCACATTGATGGGACCATCAAATGTTACTGTTGTCACATCAAATGTTACAGTTGTCGACCTTGACAGTTTCATGACAGCATGTAACAGATGACCAGCTCGCCAGCCTCTCGCTGCCAGATTTTCCCGGCCATCTAAAAATCAGATCGATACGCTTTGATCAATCGCCTATAAAAATGTTCGACCCCCCCCCCCCTATCGCAATCGTTAACCCGGCTACCTGTACAGGATGGTCAATACCAGTTGCTGCCCGGCTACGTCATCACCCGCTGGATATATGATGACGTCACAATTAGTTCTGAGACAGTGAGAAATTCTTCCTGGTCTGTCTATTCACACAAGGCGAGTCATTAGGTGCTAATCTTTGTTTACGCACCAGATTTTTTTTAAATCCATCGCAAAAAAATTCTTCATTACGGGAATTCCCGTTAATAGTAAATCGATGGTTTTTTTTTCATTGTGTAAGATATTTCGGCTTTTAAAAGAAATCGATGCGCATCTATTGTTTTTATCTACTGGGCTGTGTTCTGATGTGAGCCACATTAAGCCATTGTACTTTCTACAGCCAGATTATGGTTATACTTTAACACAAGCTGTATCTAGAGATATACAAGTTGTAAACGTACATATGGCATAAGAAGTATACGCACAATATCCAAACTACAAAAGGTCTTTCTTTCTTGATTTTTATGTGGCCCCTTGTGGAGCTAAGGGCTACAGCCACACCTCTCCATCGGACTCGGTTTTGGGCAGCTTTTATATACGCAATGTATGCCTAAGGCAGACCTTTGCTTCATCTTCTAAGGTTCTTCTTCTTCGTTCTTAATTTTAGTGTTGGAAGGGATCCCCTCCTACGCAATTAAGTATACGTGTCAGCTGGTTATGCGCCTTATAGGCCGTTGACTCCAATTTCAGTCTTCTTTTCTTTTTTGGATTTGCTAAAATAACCTTTGTCCAACCAAGAACAAACTACTAGGCAGCAGTTGTTTGATTTTGGAGTTGTCTCTCCTAGAAGAGTGGCTGTTCCCAGTTAACGAGCCTCATCTGCCCGAGGGTTCGAACTCGAGACTTTTCGGTTTAGCAACCAGGAGCTTTACCACGCCGAGTCCAGGATTTCATTGGCCTACCTACTTTCCTCTTCCCCTGGGGATTCTAGTCTGAAGCTTTCCCCCCTCCGGGTATGCCCAATCTATCCCCGATCCCGGGCTTTATTTTCATGTCTATTGGCTGTGTTTGGTCATTTGTAACATGTTTGTTTGTTTTTTGACATTTTTTTCTGGCCATCTTATCTTGAGGATCTGTCGTAAACATCTATTAGTGAACGATTGCAGCCTGTCTGTATATAAAAGCTAGCTACGCACTACAAAAGTTATCCGCGGCTTACGAATGTTACCCACGCACTATTACAGTTACCCTCGCACTACAAAAGTTACCCACGCCCTAGCAAGTTTTCTCGCCATAAACGGTCCATAAACCGCTTGCTCGACCATCCGCTATCGACTGTTTTGATTTTTTTTTCATCCTCGGCCGTGCAAGGAAAATCACCCAAGCGTAACGCTGTGAAGTCATAAATCAGCCATAAATCATCCGAATGTCATCAAGCCGTACCACGTGGCTTGTCATGCTAATTACCGCGCCACGGCCGACTCATTCGCCGCACGATCGCCACTTCGTGGTTCTAATTACCCCAACCACCAACCACCCACCCAACCCCTGCCTACTCACCGAATCTCCATGATTAGCGTAAAGTTGTCGACCTTTGTAAATTTTCTCCAATCCAACAACGACGTCATTATAATTAGAAAATAAATCAAACTTTCGCTGACAAACTACACGTGTATAAGAACACAAACATGTGAAGAATGAGATTTACGCAGACCGTAATGCAGTATGTGACTTGCTATGACGATTCATATATTGAACAGGTTTCTTCAACAATAAATCTATGAGTCTCTAATTTATTAGGCGTTATCTTTATGTTTGATGGATTTTTTAAAAATTCTGGAATTATAAGAAGAGATGCTCTTATATGTGTAACGTTGTTTTAAGATACAGTTGCTACACAGACTATAGGAGGCGACGTGGTCGGACTGGTAGGGCAGATAGCTGCTAAAACCGAAAAGTGCGGTGTTCAACACCCACCCCCCCCCCGGGCCGATGAGGCGTGAGAGCAGGGGACCATGAGCTTCGCTGGGCCCCACTCGTCACACACAAGCCAAGAGTCAGTCTTGCTCGACTCTGCTGTTGTAGCTAACGAAGAGTCGGTACAGGTTAACTTCTAGCAACTAAGAGTCAGCAGGCATTGTCTTAAAATACACGCACACACGCCCGCACGCATGCACACACACACACACACACACACACACATACTGAGCAAGCTAAATAAAAGCCTTTAAAATCAAACGAACAATTTAGTAACTAATTTTCTAACAAAGACCTCTCCCAGGTGTCGCAGTGGCCCAGCCGGTAAGGATCGGTAAAGCAGTCACGTGAACTTCCTAACCAACCAGTCCTCTTCTTACATCCACCCACGTCATAACCCGTGTTCTATATGTTTGGTGACGTCATCTTTTTAATGTATCGTTCTAATTCTTCGTGTTACATGTCATTTAAACGTTCGCGGCTTAAAACAACATGCTGAGGATTTCTCAACCGGAAGGAAAGGCTTGGGGATATTTTGACAAGTGTTTTTTTTTTCAGAAATTATTTTCCGGGGTGGTGGGTGGTACTTGAGAATTTCGAGGGGGGGGGGTGTTGCGAACAGAAATATATTTTCCATATAACTTCTATTTTTTTCTATTTCGTTCTATAGTGGATGATGAAAGATACCGTATTTGATTCGGTCTTTACTAGAAGACTGTGTGGGTGACGGTCGGCTTCATGTGTCTAGGTCAGGGATCGGCAACAATTTTTGAGACGGACGAGCCAAAAGTTCAAATCAGAGTTAGAGTTTCTTCCAGGCATCTAGAGCCCCCCGATGAAAGTCTAACCCCCCCCCCCCCCCCCGAACGAAATGAAATTTATATAGAAAATATATAATTTTAACAATGTCCGCCCCCCCCCCCCCCAAAAAAAAGTCTACCCCCCCCCCCTCCCCCGAAAATTTCAAGAGCCCCCCCCCCCCCCCCCCGGAGAAAAAAAGTCTGGAAGAAACACTGGTTACAATCTACAAAATTTCCCAATTTTTAAAATAAGAACGTTAATTGTCTTATAAAATAGTGTCTAGGTTATAGTTATAAATATTGTAATAGTTGATTACAACTAATACAAAATAAAAATTCTTAGCAGAAGTATTAATTATTTTTATTTGTAGAGTTTAGAAAGTTTACATTAATATTTGATATCCATCTAACACCTGTATTCCAATATCAAAAGTTTTATTTTACAAGCTTCTACAATCTACACTATTCTATAGCAGGTGTCGGCAACCTTTTTGAGACGGACGAGCCAAAAGTTACAATCAACAAAAATTTCCCAATTTTTAAAGAGCCACTAACTTTTTTATGTGGACTTCGGTAGTAGAAAGCATGGGACTATTGCCACGGGGCTGGCCACAGCACAGTTGTGAGGCTGAGCCTAATGCCCAGCGGCTGTCAGCTGTCCATATACTCTCTACTCCACCTATTCTCATTGATTTTTTTTAAGTTGCTTTCGTTTTTACAGTATACTATTTTCTGAGTTTTGAAAATAAAATAGTATAATTGTTATGGCACTGGAGAGCCGCATATTGACAAAAAAAAACACATGTGGCTCGCGAGCCGCAGGTTGCCGACCCCTGGTCTAGACACACTTAACGTGAGTCTGTCTATTTTAAGTGACTTAATATACTTTAGGTGACGTTGTCTACTATAGGTGATTTGGTCTACGTAAGGTGACCTAGTCTACATTGGATGGCAATGTCAAATTTAATATAAAATAAGTTAAGTATTAAAATTCCATACGTCACGTTGAAGACTTACCCAAGTCTAAGTAATCATCGGACCAACATGAATGTTGCGCAGTAAATCAGTTTTACTGACGTATCCCACAATGACATTTGGTCAAAGTACGATTTATACAAGCTTTTCACAATCCCAACTGTAAATTTATTTCAAAGATTGAAATTAGAACCCACTTGATTTATCTGCCCATTGATTTCGGATGGTTGTCGCCCTTTTCTCTGGTCAATGCATCCCGCCTTGTTACTATTTTAAGCATCGGTTACATCCAAGGAGATTTTAGACTGCTAGACCTGCTTACAGTGAGAGGCTGAAAGTAATCTACAGAAATGTTATTCTGGATAAAATTATATTCTTTGTTGGCGATATAAAATGAAACAGCTTCTTGAAAAATAAAGCATCTATTGGAAAAAAGGATTTTTTTAATATCAGCTTAATTGAAACAAATGGTGTTTGTGTAGACGGCAGGTGAGTAGGATTTCGAAAATTGCAAAAAATTTATTTTTATAAAATAATATTCTGTAACTATTTTTACACCTGAACTATGTAATGTGCATACATATGATTATTTGTTTATACAAGGACCAGACATGTCGACATGAAACTGACAGTAAAAAAAATATTTTAAAAATATACTTGAACTGTATTAGGGCACTTACAAGGAACGAGGGGACTGTCTATGGGTTAATCACGGAAGCAGGACATAACCCATTTCCCCCCCCCCCCCCCCGAGTAATTAACCCCCTCCCACCAAGTTAGGTATAGGGTTAGAATAAGGATTATGGCTAGGGTCCGCGATATGGTTGCGTTGGTTTGGGTTTAAAAAAATAACTAAAATTACAAGTTGCATATCCTCTTTTTTATCATCTTTTTTGTTTGGGTGTTGGGGGTTCACTTTTTGGGCGTGGCTTATCAGGGTTGGATCTGCAGTGTTTAGAAAGAGATACAAGCATAATACTTAATACAGATACAAGCATAATTTTTGATTCAGAAAAACACAAAATATGCACCTCTCCGTTCACACACTTTCATAATCGTGTTACAGCCACGAAACAAAAAGGGCTGTTAAAAAAATAATTGTCTTCTTATTTAAGCTACTATCCGTTCCGGTAAGGCTCTGCACTGGCTTTTGTGTAATCTGTAAAGAAAGTAACGTGTGTGTCTATCAGTGGCGTAGCGAGGTCAGGTATCACCCGGTGCGGCACTTAATGGTGTCACCCCCCCTAGAGGCGTAGCGACGCATCCGGGGGACAAACTTTTAATTTGCACCCCCCCCCCCCCTCGAACTTTCGATTTGCACCCCCCTCCCTCAAATTTTCGATTTGCAACCCCCCCCCCCCCCTCGAACTTTCGATTTGCACCCCCCTCCCTCAAATTTTCGATTTGCAACCCCCCCCCCTCGAACTTTCGATTTGCACCCCTCCCCCTCAAATTTTCGATTTGCACCCCCCCCCCCCTCAGACTTTCGATTTGCACCCCCCTCACGTTTTTCTCTATATATTTTGCTCTTTTTTGCATTGGTGTCACCCCCCTAAATGGTGTCACCCGGTGCGGTCCGCACCCCCGCCCACCCCCCTCGCTACGCCTCTGTGTCTATCAAGCATCATATACACGGCGCTGCCCGGGTATTGAGAAAAAATTAAATTTCCAACTAATGTCATATATGCAGGGCCGGCGCTACCTTTAAGGCGAACTAGGGAGTCGCTTAGGGCGCCATCCCTGGGGGGGGCGCAAAAGGGTTTAATCGCTATTATCAACAAGTACCTAATAATTAATAACTTTGATTATCTTTTATAAACTATAAGATTTGGGAGTAACGGCGGTTTAGGTATAAAGTATCGAAGTGTTAAAGTGCCGTATTTTTTATTTGGCTGTTGTGTAGTTGAAGGTCTAGTGCAGGGGTCTCCAAACTACGGCCCGCGGGCCGGATGTGGCCCGCGAGGTCCTCTCATCCGGCCCGCGGAGATCTTTTTGTCCACGGAAAAAAACGTTTGTTGGTGATAGCTGAGGAACTTTGCCCAGAAAAATCAAAGAAATGCCTGGAAGAAACTGGCCCTCGAACTGAAATTTGATAGTTAATGCGGCCCTCGGGCTAAAAAGTTTGGAGACCCCTGGAGTGGAATCTGATAGGTTATAGAGAAATGAGAATGTAGGTGATGAGGTATCGTAGTTCTGGAGTTCGGGAGTATCGAGTCTTGTGGTAGTATGGTATCGAATTGTGTTGACTGTTAACGTGTAGTAGTAGGTCCAGTGAAATCGTTGTTGATTGGGAGTATCGTTTGTAGAGTTTGGTGAAGTTAAGCGAGTTTGTGTCGTAGTTCTGGAGCATCGAGTCTAGTTATGTTTAGGTATCGAAGTTTGATGTATGTTGTGAATGTAGTAGAGTTTGAGTACATCGAGTAGTCGAGTTTATTGTAAATTAGATTTTTTCAATTCAGGATGGAACACACTACAAAGAAAGGTAGGCGTTCTACAGACTCTAGATGAAAAATCTTTAGTTTTTTTTTTAGGAATCTATGTTACCACTCTTAAAGTATTAAGGTTGGATGGAATTTATAACTAACCGTAAACTTTGTTATTTCAAATTATATTTTTTATATTTAATCAATAAATATTGCAATGTCTTAAATAGTTTCCAGTATTTGATTTTTTTTAAGGCGTACTTTTATTTAAGGCTTGAGGGATCCAAAAATTGTGTATTTTTTTTTTTTCAGATTTTAATTGCAGCAAAAAATCTTTTAACATCATGATAGCCTTTGACCTATGGGATATTCCATTTTTAATTTTCTTATCCATCTCAGCATAAGTTTCTTTATAGCCGTCAGGCTGGAATATGGGATCCCAGCCAAATTCAGTTGAGCCACTTGGTTCCACAATTGTCCCGTTGCAGCGCCCGTCAAAGATGTGAACTTTTGACCCTTTCTCCCCTGAACTGTAAGCAAACACACACTGTGCCTGACTTGTCATCATAACTTTTGAGCATTCTGTGCAGACCTGATGGACCCATCTTTGCTAGGAACCATTTAATGTATGGTCCTGACATGCCATTCAAGGCATTGAAGCAAAGACTCACATCCTCTACAATAACAGGACCCTTAACTCTTTCTGCTGCAAGCTCACATTTTGCCGTTGCTATTTCTTCGGGTTCTCCTTGATATTCTGGCAAATCAATGTCTTGATTTTCAATCTTGTAGGGAAAGTCTTTGCCGAGTATTTCAATAATCTCTTTTAGCTTATTTTTGTTTCCTGTACCAAGAACAATTGGTTTTGATATTCGTTTTATCATTAGGTAACATATATTATAAGTAAGAAGACTATAAGTTCTTGTATTTTAAAATAAATATTTTAATCGTTGAATGTATGTTTAGCCGTGTGTCAACTTTATCCAAAAATTGTGTATAATTACTACCGTTATTTACAATACGACATATTAGCAATTGAAAGAAAGTCATCAGAATTGACTAGAAGTATTTTATAATAAAGCTACCGTGTTTCGACTTTCATAAAAAAAAAACCTACAGTTAAGTATTCAATTAGTAAAATATATCGTTTAGACACAGTTACATAGCTAATACAAAATATTTTTTATAATTGTTACGTAATGAAATTTTAAGCGTTTTATTGTGTTTTTAAAGCATGTCTTTAGTTACACTTTGTTAATTTAGCTATTCTTGTGGAAGCTATTTCCCTTGAATGAAAATTTGGTATTTAGATTTCCAAATGGTAGATAATTCGTTGCTTAACTTTACATTAATTTCAAAATCCTGCACATTAAGTTGACCGCTTACTTATAAATACAACATTAAGTTATTATTTGCTATTGTAAACATTTATATAGAGCAGAAGTCCTAAACAAAAGTTTGGTAGTATTTGTTTCAGCATTATCCAGTTGAAAAACAAATACATCAGTAGCCGTTGTAGATTGCAATACCTAATGTTAGTAGACATACAGTATTAAATATGTGCAACAAATGCGTCTTAAATCGTCTAAGTCGCAAATTAATCAACTAATTAACAATTTCTTTTTCATATTTTTCACCCTCTTTTAAAGGATTCATTTATAACAATTGTAGGCTGGAATCTATAACTATAATTTATAACCTTTTATTTATCAAAAACAAAAAAATCGTTACATAATCACACAATATAGACATTTTACAATTATAACTAGTGACAGTCAAGCTTAAAACAGGTAAGTTCCGTTCTGGAACTTACCTTGGGAGGTTTGCAGAGAGCCCAACACCACAAGAATTGTTTTTTTTTCCAGTGTTTTTTCCCCAGACTTTTTTCTACCAGGAGGGGGGGGGGGGTAAGCACTTGAAATTTTTCTCGTGGACTTAGCAACAATTTCAATAGAATGTGATTACGCTTGCAAACTGACATTGAAGGAATTAGTACACACTTTTGCGACGAATGAGGCAAGACAAAATTTGACTGTGATGTCTACTTATAACGTGTATGCAATTGATAATTAATTAATATGTCACTTATAATTAATTGTTTTCTTATACATATGTTTTAGTAATTAATTTGTATGAAAGGGGGCGTTTTAATAAGTTTTACCTAGGGCGCTTAATAACCTGGCGCCGGCACTGTCTATATGCAAATATAGAAAGCATATCTAACCATAAACCTAACTTTAAATCTAACTCTATCCACAGCTAAGCACAACCGTAAACATAAACATTAACGAACATAGACATAAACATAAAACTTCTCTCCTCCTCGCACTTCTACGTCTAAAAAAACCTCTACATAAACACAAACATAAACCCTAAACCTCACCACAACCACAACCATGAGCAAAAACATTTTTTAAAAAACATAAAACAATCTTCACCTCAACTTCAACCAAAAATATAAACCCTCTCCCCTCTTTGTACTTCTACGCCTAAAATTACAATAACACAAACAAAACATAAACCTAAGCATAAACATAAACAAACCCTCGCCACTTCCTCAACCACAAAAGCAACATAAACCCCTGCACCTACGTCTACACAAACACCTACATATATTCCTATACATATAACTTAATGAGTGGCGGAACAAGAACCCCCCCCCCCCCCCCGCCCAGAAAATCTTTCTGGGCCCTATATATATATATATATATATATATATATATATATATATATATATATATATATATATATATATATATATATATATATATATAAAGTGTGTCTTTTTTATTGAAGCTTATCAATATTATCATTATTCCTATTTAAATGGAAAACAAGAGTCGTTCAATTTTTTTTTTATTCGAGTGCTTGTGGATTACTTTTTCCTGTCTGGTACACGAATAAATCACACGTTTTTCAACGAGTGGGCTGGCCACATAAAATCATCCAAGTGAGAAGCACGGACTAGCTAAATCTAGGCCAACTCACCAAACTGAAGCAACTTTTCGTGAGGTTTTCAACAAAACGTTAGACCTACATACCTTGTATTTTTGGACGTTTGGCCTTGCTTTCTAGTAGCGAGTTTTTAAATGTAAACAATGTCGGCACTTCATTTCTTCGATCTTAGTTGTTGGGGCGCAGGTTTGTTCACACAACCAACGAGACGCCCCAGGGCGTGCTGTAAGCTTCAGTGTATGCTAATCACCTCCTCGGCGGCGGCCCAGTTGTCAGTGGGCATCGGGGGGGGGGGGGGGTCTCTTGGGAGTCACCGGTTACATTATAGAAGTCATAGAATGCACTTTGCACTTTTAAATTGCTCACATGTGAGACCGGGCATATCCCGGTAACACTGTCGTCAGTGGATTCAAGTGGTAACCCTATCTCCCTGCGCAGGACACAAAATAAGCGGATTCAACGTGCCACTGGGGATTTTTGGGGCGCTAAACCATATTTCCGTGGGGCGCCGGCACTCCAATATTTAAACAAATGTTAGACCAACTGTCCCAAAATTTCATGGCGAATGGATGAATGTTGTAATAATGCATAAAAGACAGAAACATGTTTTTCACATGTACAACTGTAGGTGGCCAGCTCACGCGTCAGATAACCTTCTGATTTAGGGGCTATCTATATAAGTCACGTTTTTTTTAACGGCTTACAAAAAGCCAGATCCTCACCTTTAAATGATGTAACTTATTAATAGTAATTGACTATAAATATTATTCAATTAATTCATTTACTAATGAATTACATTACTTTAACAATATAAAAGATAGTCTTACCTTCCTTGTTTTGTGAATAATTAGATTTATCAAATACTATGCCAGTAAATTTAAATCTGCTGACTAAAGTGTTGACTGCCGTCTGACAAAATGTGCCGAAGTGTTGAATGTACGGATAGGAAATTCACAAACAATACCGTTCCTATTCGATACTTGCGAGGTTAAGGATTGAGGGGGGGGGGGTGGTGTCGGTTCGGAAATAAACTTCGAAGGGACAACAAAGCGCCGATGTACATCAATAGTATCAAATTGAGGATGGCCACTACTTACTTTTCCCAAAGCTATTAAAAAACTTACTCAAGGAAGAAGATTCAAAGAATACAAGTTTATTACACAGCTACACAATTTATGGGGTACATACTTGAGGGGTACACACCTACACAATTGATGGGGTACACAGCTATACAATGGATGGGGTAGACAGCAACACACTTGATGGGGTACACAGCTACACACTAGATGGGGTATACAGCTACACAATTAATGTGGTACACAGGTACACAATTGATGGGGTACACAGCTACACACTTGATGGGGTACACAATTGATGGGGTACATAGTTACACACTAGATGGGGTATAATATTGATGGGGTACACAGCTACACACTAGATAGGGTACACACTTGATGGGGTACACTCTTGATGGGGTACACAGCTACACACTAGATGGGACACACAGCTACACACTAGATGGGACACACAGCTACACACTAGATGGGGTACACAGCCACATGGGCTCTTCTCATACTTGATGGGGTTCGACCTCGGGACTTTTCAATCAAGCGGCCATGAGTTTTACCAACCCAACCATGCCGACCCCAATTAGAATCCCCGATCCCTTTGTGCGGAACGCCCAACAATTAAAACCAGGCGCTTTAACTGCGGGGGACTCTTGGCGCTCAACGGATTACTTCAGCCGGGACGCCACCCTTTCTGCAAGATTTTCAAAAACATCAACCATTTCTGAGTCGTATTCAATAGCTTCTCAAACTTTCATGGTGATCGGCTAAATAGTGTAGTAATGCATACAATTGTTATTTTATTTGAAGAAAATATTTTTTTATTCTCTTCTGTTTAGTACATAAAAGCCTGTAGAGAAAACCATGAGAACGTGGAATTTGTTGCTTTCAACGATATCTCTCATTTTGTTAAGTAAGTACGGACTCGAATTAGAGTCTACTTTCGATTTGTTTAAATTAGCTTTAAAATAAGGTTAATGGAGTTTCCATATTTGGGATCATCATCATCATCTTTATACGTTTTTGCCCAAGACACATGGGGCAGATGAAGTACAGTTCATCTGATTCACTGATCTCGACATACAGGGGGATAATGTGGTCATGCACTATGCCCAACCACCTTTGTTTTCCTTACCTGAGTTAGGTACCTATCAGAGCTAGTTGGACTAAGGGACGTTATACTGACTTGAACCTGGATTCGAACTGAGATTTTCGGGTTAGCAGTCTAGCTCTCTACCGCTAGGGCACGCCACCCCCATATTTGGGATAAAATATTTAATTTCAACTATGATTAATCTGAGCATTGTAATTATTCACATTTTATTCTTTAAATTCCTTAAATATACAACCAAAACAATTCCTTGCTTCTATGGATTTTGTTGGTGTCAGTTCCAGCCGATTGCTCATTGAGTGTGACCAGCTACCAGTTGATGACCGATGCCTCGTATGGAGCGTCCAGTCTGGGACCGTCCTGGACATCTGGCACCGCCTTGGCCTGTGTCAGGACGTGTCTGCTGCTGTATGGCGCGTGTTACAGCTTTGTTTACAACTCAGGGCAGTGTACGCCAGGTGAGTGGTTTTAGTGAAAGGTGGGGGGGTTAAATATGACAGGTGGGTGGTTAAATATGACAGGTGGGTGGTTAAATATGACTGGGTGGCTAAATATGGCATATGGGTGGTTTTATGTGACAGGTAAGTGGTTAAATGTGACAGGTGGGTGGTTAAATGGGACAGGTGGGTGGCTAAATATGGTAGGTGGGTGGTTAAATGCAACAGGTAAGTGGTTAAATGTGACAGGTGGGTGGTTTTAGTGAAAGGTGGGGGGGGGGGTTAAATATGGCAGGTGGGTGGTTAAATATGACAGGTGGGTGGTTAAATATGACAGGTGGGTGGCTAAATATGGCATGTGGGTGGTTTTATGTGACAGGTAAGTGGTTAAATGTGACAGGTGGGTGGCTAAATATGGTAGGTGGGTGGTTAAATGCAACAGGTAAGTGGTTAAATGTGACAGGTGGGTGGCTAAATATGGTAGGTGGGTGGTTAAATGCAACAGGTAAGTGGTTAAATGTGACAGGTGGGTGGCTAAATATGGTAGGTGGGTGGTTATGTTCGACAGGTGGGTGGTTACATATGGCAGGTGAGTCGGTATATGTGACAGGTAGGTGGTTAAATGTGACAGGTAGGTGGTTAAATATGGTAGGTGGGTGGTAAAATATTACAGGTGGGTGGTTACATATGGCAGGTGGGTGGTAAAATATTATAGGTGAGTGGTTAAATATGGCAGGTGTGTGGTTCAATATGGCAGGTGTGTGGTTAAATATGGCAAGTGGGTGGTTAAATATGGCAGGTGGATGGTTAAATATGGCAGGTGTGTGGTTAAATATGGCAAGTGGGTGGTTAAATATGGCAGGTGGGTGGTAAAATATTACAGGTGAGTGGTTAAATATGGCAGGTGGGTGGTTAAATGGGACAGGTGGGTGGTTAAGTAATACGGGTAAGCGATCAAACATTACAGTTGTGTAATCAGACTGCCCTTTTAGGAGATGAATTCTCAAAATATTGGTTATGAGAGTTGTACTACTAGTGTATATTCACTCCCCCCCCCCACCCCCCCCCCCCTATGTGTACTCCTACAATTTGAACACTAAATAAAGCCACAACCATGCATTTTACTGTAAACAAGACAAATTGTTTCTATAACAACAAAAAGTAGACATTACTATATCTTGTTACATAGGTTCCAAATTAACGTACGGCACTAGCAGACCGGCATCCGGCGGGAAGTTCTACTACACAGACTACTGCGACACGACACGAGGGTACCGCCTGTACGTATACAAGAGCGTCGTCCAGTGCCTCTACGTCACCAATACTTCTGGAACTTTCGACCAGGGCAGGGTGGACTGCGCTGGTGAGTTGGTCGGTGAAGAGGTTGGGGGTAGGGGTAGGGGGTGGTTTAAATCAGGGATAAAATAACTAGCAAAAACTGAATCGTCTTGAAAAGTTGTGTGCAAAATTTAGGCGGAAATGTAAGGAATAAAATTGGATATGTGTTGTATTTGATAAACGAGCAGGGTCGGCGCTACTTATAAGGAGAACTAGGCGGTCGACTAGGGCGCCATCCCTTGGGGGCGCAAAAAGGTTTAATCGCTAAAATCAAAAAGTACCTAATAATTAATATCTTTGATTATCTTTTAGACAGGGTAATAAACAAAGAATGGAGATCTATTTCGGCGCCCAGGACGAACTATCAGTTTTGCACCCCAACCCCAAAATTAGGACTATATAGGCCTATATTTATTCGCGATGGTTAAAATGCACCCCCAGCTCCCTAATTTAGAAAGGTCGGGGCGCTTTTTACCGGTAACTTTGCCTTTTTATTTTGGTGTCACATAATTGATGTAGAAAACGATTACATAAGTTCGTAATTTAAATTTCGAACATTTCAAACGGTTTTCTCATTTTAATGTTGATTTAGTGATCGCTCCAGCGAATGACGCGGCGTTCTGAAACGCGTGCAATTTGGTTTTTAATAGGGTTTGTGAGTCTCGTTTTCTCTGACTTAGAATTAGAAATCTGTTCTGGTGTATAGCGTTTTGAAATTTCGGGGTGTTAAAAGTATTGTACTTGTTTAGTAAATTTTGATGAATCGTTTAGATTTGTGAGTAACGGCGGTTTAGGTATAAAGTATAGAAGTGTTAAAGTGTCGTATTTTTTATTTGGCTGTTGTGTAGTTGAAGGTTTAGTGGAATCTGATTGGTTATAGAGAAATGAGAATGTAGGTGATGAGGTATCGTAGTTCTGGAGTTCGGGAGTATGGAGTCTTGTGGTATTATGGTGTCGAATTGTATTGACTGTTAACGTATAGTAGTAGGTCCAGTGAAATCGTTGTTGATTGGGAGTATCGTTTGTAGAGCTTGGTGAAGTTAAGCGAGTTGGTGTCGTAGTTCTGGAGCATCGAGTCTAGTTATGGTTAGGTATCGAAGTTTGATATATGTTGTGAATGTAGTAGAGTTTGAGTACATCGAGTAGTCGAGTTTATCGTAAGTTAGATGATTTCAATTCAGGACGGAACACACTACAAAGAAAGGTAGGCGTCGTCTAGCTGAAAAATCTTTGGTTTTTGTTAGAAATCTATATTACCACTCTTAAAGTATTAAGATGGGATGGAATTTATAACTTACCGTAAACTTTGTTATTTCAAATTATATTTTTTTAATATTTAACCAAGAAATATTGCAAAGTCTTAAACAGTTTCCCGTATTTGATTTTTTTCGAAAGGCGTAGGTTTATTTAGGGGAATTAAAATTGTGTATAATAAACTATCTTGCTGAAGCTAAAAGTAAAAAACTATTGTGTCATCAATATTGACTAGAAGTATGTTATAATAAAGCTACCATGTTTGACTTTCAAACAAAACCTACTGTTAAGTATTCAATAAGTAAAATATATTGTTTAGACACAGTTACATGGCTAATATAAAATATTTTTTATAATTATTACATAATGAAATTTTAAGCGTTTTATTGTGTTTTTCAAGCATGTCTTAGTTACACTTTGTTAATTTAGCTATTCTTGTGGAAGTTATTTCCCTTGAATAAAATTTTAGTATTTATATTTCCAAATAGAAGATAATTCGTTGCTTAACTGATTATGTTTAGGTATCGAAGTTTGATATGTGTTGTGAATGTAGTAGAGTATATCGGGTAGTCGAGTTTATCGTAAGTTAGATTATTTCAATTCAGTATGGAACACACTACAAAGAAAGGTAAGCATTCTCTAGCTTAAAAATCTTTAGTTTTATAGGAATGAATCTATATTACCACTCTTAAAGTATTAATATATAATATTATATAGGCTGGAATTTATAACTAACCGTAAACTTTGTTTGTTTGTTTTTTCAAATTATAATTTTTTTTATTTAATCGATAACTACAGCAATATCTTAAACCAGTGGTCGGCAACCTACGGCTCGCGAGCCGCATGCGGCTCTTTAGATGTCAAGGTGCAGCTCTCCAGTTCCATGCACAAATATTAATTATATTATTTCATTTCATAACAAATGTCAGAATGTAAAGAAAAACAACGTTAACATAAACAGGATGATAATACTCATCAGAGAACAGTAAGAATCGGTGAGGTAGAAAGTAAATGGACAGCTAATAGCCGCTTGGGCACCAGGCCCAGCCCCCCAGCCGTGCTATGGACAGCCCCGTGGGCAGTAATTCAATACTTGCCACTGCTCAAGTGCCGACTTTTTCCGAGTATCATTAAATGAGGCATGTTATTTTATTCAGAATGCATTCTTCTATGCATTACTTTGACATGAGTGATGTAGTATTTTAGTTATTAGCTTCCTACAGTTGGGCCAGGTACTAGACTCTGGGTTCGTGTAGGGTGGAAGATCAGCCCTGTGAGAACCGAAGGACAGAAGCGACAGATACACGATAATCAAACCGATATCCAAGCTTGTTAGTCGGAGTTTGTCGTGTTGAGGGCTGCCTATATAGGGAAGACCTCCTGGGCCAGTGGTGTCCGTAAAGAAAGAAAAAAGTTATTGGCTCCTAAAGTGGATTGGGATAATTATATAGTTATATTATCTGATTACTAATTATAATATTTTATCATAGCAGAGCTAGCTAAATCACTTTTTCTGCGAAACATTTGTATATTTTTATATGAATCAATATTAGTTCATATTTAACGCTATTTATTTCAAAATCAAAAATCAAATTTATTCACCTAATCCTTATCAAGTCCTAGATATTTTTTAAAAAATTTTGTGTCTCTTTAATAACTGGGAAATTTCATAATTTGTAACATTTGGCTCTTCCGTTTCAAAGGGTAGCCGACCCCTGTCTTAGTCAGATACATTTTGATTTTTTTTAAAGGCGTCCCCTAATTTGGGGGATCCAAAATTTTATATTTCTGTTTATTATTTTTCGAATAAAATTTATTAAATATCATCATAATTGACTAGAAGAATGTTTTAATAAAAATAACGTGTTTAGACTTTCAAACAAAACCTACAGTTAACTAATTAATTAGTAAAATAAATTGTTTTGATATGTTTACATAGCAAGTATAAAAAGATTTGTTATAATTATTATGTAATGAAATTTAGAGCGTTTTATTGTGTTTTTCAAGCATGTCTTAGTAACACTTGGTTAATTTTGCTATTCTTGTGGCAGTTATGTCCCTTGAGTTAAATTTTGGTATTTGGGTTTCCCAATGGGAGATAACTCGTTGCTTAATATTACATTCGTTTCAAATTCCTGCACCTTAGGTTGAGCGATTACTTATAAATACAACTTTAATTTATTATTTGAATTTGTTAAAATTATATAGAGCAGAAGTTCCAAACAAAAAAGTTTGGTATGTTTTTTAGCATATCCAGTTGAAAAACAAATACATCAGTAGCGGTTGTAGATTGCAATACTTAATGTTAGTAGACATACAGTATGAGTGCAACAAATTCGTCTAAAATCGTCTTAGTCGCAAATTAATCATCTAATTAATTGTCTTATTCATATTTTTCACCCTCTCCTAAAGGATTCATATATAACAATTATAGGCTGGAATCTATAAAATTTATAACCTTTTATTTTTCAAAAGCAAAAAAAAATATTTACGTAATCATACAATATAGACAGTTTACAATTATAACTAAAAAGAGTCAAAGCTTAAAACAGGTAAGTTCCGTTCTGGAACTCACCTTGGGAGGTCTGCAGAGAGCCCAACACTACAAAAACTGTGGGGGGTTTTCCGTGTTTTTTTCCAGACTTTTTTCACACGAGAGGGAGGGGGGGGGGGAGCACTTGAAATTTTCGAAGGGGGTGGGGCTATGTCGTGAAGTACAAAATAGACTCGTGGACAATTTCAATAGAATGGGGTTACGCTTGCAAACTAGAATAGAAGAAATTAGTACAAACCTTTGCGACGAAGGAGGCAAGTAAAATTTGATTTTTATGTCTACTAATGACGTGTGTATGCAATTGATAATAAATTAATATGTCAATTTTAATTAATTGTTTTCTTATACCTGTTTTAGTAAGTAATTTGTGGGAAAGGGGGCGTTTTAATAAGTTTTGCCTAAGGCGCTTAATAACCTGGCACCGGCACTGTAAACGAGGCATTGTGATTGGTTATTAGGGATTAGACAAGTTTAAATGCTGGTGATAGACTTGACTGTATAGGGTGGAGGTGGGGTAGTAAGGTTAGGCCGGGTATACTTCTGGATTTGTTCAAGTAGGAATTACACGTAGTCCGGGTATACTACTGGAGTTGTACAAGTAGGGACTACACGTAGGCCTGGTATACTTCTGGATTTGTACAAGTAGGGACTACACGTAGGCCTGGTATACTTCTGGATTTGTACAAGTAGGGACTACACGTAGGCCGGGTATACTTCTGGATTTGTACAAGTAGGGACCAGTGACGTAGCCAGGATCGTCTCAAGGGGGGTTCCAATTTTTACCCGGGGACAAACTTTCGATTTGCACCCCCCCCCCTCAAACTTTCGATTTGCACCCCCCCCCTTATACTTTTTATATATACCGAGGGGTCTATGGGGGGGTTATGACCCCCCTAACCCCTTCCCCCCGTTGCCTACGCCACTGGTAGGGACTACACGTAGACCGGATATGCTACTGTTTTCTATATTTCAGCTAGAGACGGTCGTGTGATGATGGCTAAAACAATTGACAAGTTCAACCTGTTTTTGTCGATTGCCAAAAATGTCTTCAAGACGTTCACGTTCCTCGGTCTGTCGGATCTGGTGACCGAGGGCACTTTTCTCTGGGAGGACGGGGAACCGTTGAACGACACGTATAAAACTCAGATCTTTTTGCCAGGTGAGTCATACAACCCTCCCCAAATATTTTTGTCAGGTAAGACACACCCCCTCCCCCCAAATATTTTTGTTAGACACACCCCCTCCCCAAATATTTTTGTCAGGTAAGACACACCCCCTCCCCCCAAATATTTTTGTTAGACACACCCCCTCCCCAAATATTTTTGTCAGGTAAGACACACCCCCTACCCCCAAATATTTTTGTCAGGTAAGACACACCCCCTACCCCCAAATATTTTTGTCAGACACACCCCCTCCCCAAATATTTTTGTCAGGTAAGACACACCCCCTCCCCAAATATTTGTGTAGGTAAGACACACCCCCTCCCCCCCCCCCCCCCCCAAATATATTTGTCAGACACTACCCCCTCCCAAATATTTTTGTCAGGTAAGACACACACCCTCCCCAGATATTTTTGTAAGTCACACCCCCCACAGATGAGTCACACCCCTCCCCAGATATTTTTGTCAGGTAAAACACATCCTGTCATAACTATGTCTTGACGCTAAAGTATTTGGTCTATACGTTCATTAAATTACTCAATGTGATACTCGTTACTTTAAAAAAATATACCACAATCACAACGATTATGAAATTTAACCAAAACAATCCATTCTCTAATTACTTACTCAAAAACTATATGGTTAAAATAAGAATTACTTTAACCAATTGCTATGTTTAACCCAGTGTTTATTCCAATTCCAGGCGAGCCTAACGCAGACACCAGCCTATCCGACTGCTCCATAGCGTCGGCGTTCGGCAACTTTGCTGGTCTGTTTGATGGACGCTGTGACCTTGGGGCCAACCCCTCCCCCCGTTATTACATATGTGAACCATTAATAAACTAAACGGAGGCCACAATAGTGTCTTTTATTTATTAGATGTTAATATTAGTTGTAACTTAAAACGTTAACTGCATGTGTTATAAAGCTGTTCGCAATAAGTGTTTATAATAGCAATTAATATTAGATATCAATTAAAAATCGATTAAAACCAGTAGCGTCACAAGGACGAGAGTATGGGGCGCGTCTGCCCCAGGCGACATCAAATTTTAAAAATCGTAAAATTAAGTGACAAAGCAATGTTTTATCCAGTTGTATAGAGAGGTTTTAAATTTTAATTTAAAATTAAAACCAGTTTCTTCTACTAATTTGTGTTACAGTTATTAAAACTGTCTTTTTATTTTAAGCATTAAATTATTCGAAAAGCAAATTTGTAGCAAAAGCATATCATTATGCAACGTGAAAATAGGGTGAAACAAGAACAGTTTTAGAAGTTGGTTCTACTTCATATTTAATGGAACCTTACATAAAAGGGAGATAATCACTTTTTATGAAGCCAACTGATTTGAAACCTTTTCCTAGAGTGACTACCCTTTAAATAATATAAATGAATTTTAATGTAGTTTATTATTATTGAACATGATGAGCCATTTTCTTCTGAGTTTTTGCTGTGTAACGAAAATTGTTTTAACAGCTTTTCTAATGTAATAAAGGTTACAAATCTAAAGGTCTATATTTCGTCTCGAAAGCTTAACTTCATAGGGACACAACCCGGATTTCACTAACTTGTTTTGTTTTACGGGTTACTTCCCTTCTTATAAACAATTTGCAGTGAACATCATGTTGACAACTCAAGTTTTGTTTTTGTTTTTTGGTTTAGATTTTCAAAATTTACTAGATATTTAAAAAGAAGTCACATTTTCTTCATTACCTCAATGATGATTCACCGACTTAATTTTTTTTCACTTTATTGACAGGTGACATATTCTGCTCTTCTGTGTAGTAAAATTTATTATGTCACTATAATTTTTCTCTTGTATGTTTGTATGTGTCTGTCAGTGGTCTCCACGCTTTGTATCTGTTATGGCCAAAGGCCGAAGTGCGGCTAAAGTGCGAACTGGCCGGCCGATGTCCGAATTCACAGCGTATTTTGTACATTGACCAGTGCCCCCCCCCCCCCCCCAAAAAAAAATTATATCCTTATCCCTACCTTTGACCAGTTCCCCAACCCCTAACATTATATCCATGTGCCTATTTTAAACTAGTGTCACCCCCTCCCCCTTCTATTATATCCATGTGCCTATTTTAGAACATGGCCACACACCCCCCCCCCCCCCTTTCTATTATATCCAGGTGCCTTTTTTTAACAGTACCCTCCCCACTCACATTATATCCATGTGCCTATTTTAGAACAGTGCCACCCCCCCCCCCTCTATTATATCCATGTGCCTATTTTTTAACAGTGCCCCCCCCCCCCCCGCCCATACACACACATTATATCCATATGCCTATTTTTGAACAGTGCCACCCCCCCCCCCCTTTCTATTATATCTATTTGTCTATTTTAGAGCAGTGCCCCCACCCTCCACCATTACATTAAACCCATGTGCCTATTTTAGACCAGTGCCCCCGCCCTCCACCCTTACAATATATCCATGGGCCTACCATAGACCTCCCACCCCCACCCCCACCCCCACCCCCACCCCCCCAACCCTCATATGCCTAAACCCCCTCTTCCTGACCCAGTTAACTTTTAACGTCGCGACCCTTGGGTTGGGACCCGATTAAGGTCAAAGTCATGTTTGTACGCGGCACTGTTAGCTTAAGCGTACGTTGCGTGACCTCCACCACACCCACCCCTTCCCCATCCACTCCAGGTAGACGGTAGCACAGCTGAGAGTTACCTGTCCTTACCTGTTAGGCCCCTACTTGTCGTCAAGTTGTTATTAAACTTTTTACTGCCGGTGATTATTGCCTCTCTGTGACTTACCTGTCGGTGACTATTACTTGTCGGTGACTACTACCTGTCGGTGACTATTGCCTCTCTGTGACTTACCTGTCGGTGACTATTACCTCTCTATGATTTACCTGTCGGTAACTATTATCTCTCTGTGACTTACCTGTCGGTGACTATTACCTGTCGGTAACTAATAACTATTACCTCTCTGTGACTTACCTGTCGGTGACTATTACCTGTCGGTGACTATTGCCTGTCGGTGACTATTGCCTCTCTGTGACTTACCTGTCGGTGACTTTTGCACTCTATGTGACGTACCTGTCGGTGACTATTGCCTCTCTGTGACTTACCTGTTAGTAGACCGTAGCTGTTTACTGGAGTTGAGTAAATTAGTAGAAGACTTACTTGGGCAGCAAGATATATTGATATACTTTAAGTGATATGTAGATGTTAGCTGAGATTGACAATACGTGTATTAGCATTCTTACCTGGACAGACCTACCTGGGCAGGTTTACATTCTAAGAGATGAGGGGAAAAATGTTTCATCATAAATGAATTCACTACGAGGTTGATCTGCAAATCATTGGTGAAAACTGTGCTGATTTATATTATAGAATTGTGTTGCTGTTTGTGTTGTTGCTGTTGGTGTTGTTGCTGTTGGTGTTGTTGCTGTTGGTGTTGTTGCTGTTGTTGCTGTTGGTGTTGTTGCTGTTGCTGTTGTTGCTGTTGCTGTTGGTGTTGTTGATGATGGGGTTTTTTGTTGCTGCTGGTCGTGCTTTACATCGTGTAATAGACAAACAACATAAAACGCAAACCACATTTCCCTATGTGAGACGGAGTTCGAAACCCGAACTTGTACGTTGGACTTGCCCGTGTTCACCCAGCTTTAATGGGTACCTGACTCAGGTTAGTGTAAGTAGAAAGCGGCTGGGTAAAGGCCGATCACATTATCCCTCCTTATACCGAAGTTATAGAAACAGCTGAACTCTACTTCATCTACCTGGATCACGAGGCTGGAAAGGGTAACTAACTTAACATCTACCCCCATACACACACACACACTAAAACACATCATGTACATAAACACATGTGCCACGCACCTACATATCCACGCACTCAAACATAATATTTATAGTATACACATTACACAAACACACACTCACCACTCACCACACTCACTCACACACCACACACATACACATACACTAAAAAATTATAGAAACTTAACTAATCAAAATAATTATCTTTGAAAATCTGCAGTCAACGCCCTTACAAGCCCTTATTAAAAAGTTATTTTGTACTCGGCCTTCGCTTGAATTGTTTCGTTTATCCCGTGTAACATTTGCTTTATACATTTTTTTTTAAAACCTTGGACAAATACAACCAATGCCGTGACGTCTTTACCTGGCACAGATCATATGTCAAGAACAAACCCGTGTCTGGCATGAAAAGACTTTTTCTATACGGCACTTTACGATCAGACGAACAGGTTTTTTTGTTCCGACCCGCGGAAATGAGGCGAATACGTCAGGGCTGGTATCACTTGCTGCAGACGGGTGCTGGCACATTTGTGACGATGCGTGACGAGACAAAAGGGGTGTGACGTGTGACATGAACATCTTCAGTAACGGTAACGTCGTAACCGTTGACGAAGTTAGATTTTTTTTTATAATCATATGCATAGGCCTACTAGTGATATGTTTGAATCGGCTTCAAAATGGAGAGATCGGATTTTACACTGTTGTGATCGAAACATCCAGAGGCGCAGCTACAAAGGAGTCAATTTTTTTCCTTAAGAAACTCTACATCTAGAGCGGATTCAAAATAAAATGTGTGGCTAGGCCGCAGACCACATCAATATTTAAACTGACGTCAGTTCCAGTTAAGTCGATCGATGTGGAGTTGTAACTTTTAATTGTGTTTATTAAATGTTTTATTCGGAATGTCTTCTGCATCCAGAGTTTCTCCCAGGCATATCTTCAAGGGGGACTGAGCCCTCCCCCCCCCCCCCCGAAAAAGTCTACCGCCCCCCCCCCCCCCCCCCATCCCCGAACGAAATAAAATTTATATAGAAAATATATACTTTTAACAGTGTCCGCCCCCTCCCCCCCCCAGAAGAAAGTCTACCGCCCCCCCCCCTTGAAAATTTCAAGTGCCCCCCCCCCCTGAGAAAAAAGTATGGAAGAAACACTGTCTGCATCGAGAGTACATCCGGGGCACTGAGTTACATATCTATGCCATTGTTGAGAGTACATGACCGGCACAGATACATGTATCTACAACAACGGTGTCTATTTCAAGCACACCGGCCACAAAAAGGACAGTGCCCCCCCCCCCCCCCCCAGACGAAATAGAAAACTATAGGAATAATATAGAAAATGTATCATTAAACCGGTCCACACCGCCATTCCAAGAAATCTCCAGCACCCCCCCCCCCTTCCAGCCATAAGAAGGAAATATCTGAAACTGTACGCCCCTGACTCATCAAAATGAAACAGAAGAAAAAAGTATTGCTACACTTTGTCAGATAGATTTTGTAGGAGCTATTGAACAACAAGCCAATCCTCATGGTCCCGATTTATGGGGATAAAACCGTATAGAAATAGTTGTACCAAGTGCTAGTGTGCTACTTAGTAATAAAAACAAAACAAAACAATAATGTCTATAGAATGTATGGGATATCTATGCGATTTTTGGGGGATTTGTGGGACAACGATCAAAGACAACAAAATAGTGACGTCACACAAAGATGTCCATTCAGTGATTTCATCACTAGAGATCTTCGTATTGTTGGTTTACCTAATATGTTTGTCTACTATTTTATACAACGTATGCACTAGACCTATAGCCATAGCTGCTAGACATGTTGGGCTAGGGATGTTTGTCTCTTCAACTCATGTATTGTAAGGTGTCTTTGTATTGTTTGTTGTATGTAAAGGATCTTTGTATTGTTGTATGTAAAGGATCTTTGTATTGTTGTATGTAAAGGATCTTTGTATTGTTTGTTGTATGTAAAGGATCTTTGTATTGTTGTATGTAAAGGATCTTTGTATTGTTGTATGTAAAGGATCTTTGTATTGTTTGTTGTATGTAAAGGATCTTTGTATTGTTGTATGTAAAGGATCTTTGTATTGTTGTATGTAAAGGATCTTTGTATTGTTGTATGTAAAGGATCTTTGTATTGTTGTATGTAAAGGATCTTTGTATTGTTGTATGTAAAGGATCTTTGTATTGTTGTATGTAAAGGATCTTTGTATTGTTGTATGTAAAGGATCTTTGTATTGTTGTATGTAAAGGATCTTTGTATTGTTTGTTGTATGTAAAGGATCTTTGTATTGTTGTATGTAAAGGATCTTTGTATTGTTGTATGTAAAGGATCTTTGTATTGTTTGTTGTATGTAAAGGATCTTTGTATTGTTGTATGTAAAGGATCTTTGTATTGTTGTATGTAAAGGATCTTTGTATTGTTGTATGTAAAGGATCTTTGTATTGTTGTATGTAAAGGATCTTTGTATTGTTGTATGTAAAGGATCTTTGTATTGTTGTATGTAAAGGATCTTTGTATTGTTGTATGTAAAGGATCTTTGTATTGTTGTATGTAAAGGATCTTTGTATTGTTTGTTGTATGTAAAGGATCTTTGTATTGTTGTATGTAAAGGATCTTTGTATTGTTGTATGTAAAGGATCTTTGTATTGTTGTATGTAAAGGATCTTTGTATTGTTGTATGTAAAGGATCTTTGTATTGTTGTATGTAAAGGATCTTTGTATTGTTGTATGTAAAGGATCTTTGTATTGTTGTATGTAAAGGATCTTTGTATTGTTGTATGTAAAGGATCTTTGTATTGTTGTATGTAAAGGATCTTTGTATTGTTGTATGTAAAGGATCTTTGTATTGTTGTATGTAAAGGATCTTTGTATTGTTGTATGTAAAGGATCTTTGTATTGTTGTATGTAATGGATCTTTGTCTGGTTCGATGATCGTATTCAAGTGATCTTTATATTTACTGATCCCAAGTAAGGGATCTTTGCATTGTTTACTTATCCCAATTAAGGGTATTTTGTATTGTCTGCTGTATGTAAGGGATCAGTATTGTTTGTTGATCCTTTGTAGTGAATCTGTGTATAGTTTATTGATCCTATGTCAGAGATTTTTGTATTGTTTGTTATATGTAAGGGATCTTTGTATGGTTTGATCATAAAGACAGAAAACCAGCATTCAAGTCTAACTGCTAACCTTGTTGTGTTTCAACCCAAGGCCTCCACACCTAATAATATCTAATATCTTTATATCGCCATAAAAATCACACTAAGTGCGACACAGCCCTCCAAACTTGTTCAATCTGTCAAAGCCCACGTGTGAATGTTGGGGGTGGGGGTGGGTGGGTGCACTAGAGATATCGACCAACCGTGTCTCAATACGCGTGGACTGATCGTACCGATTGATATCATTTTCTATTGAACCGCACAATCGCTCTGTTCGCGTGTATCTGAAGTATCGGTACATGAAACATATCTAAACTTACTCGGTACAAAAACGTAGGACAAAATCTCTATCACAATGATCCTCTACTCTATCCCCCTCCCCTTTTTCAATTCCCATTGTACGGGCAAGATTTATCGTAGGCCCGAGATCAATTCTCCTGTCATGGGCCGCGCTATCACAATAGATGTCACTGGCCGTCTATAAATAGATTACATACATTGTGACCACTGTCTAAGAAATGACCCCTACAGATTTATTGCAGTGCCCGGCAAGGAGCTGATGCGACTACCGTAGAACTACTTGTACAGCGCTGCATGCGTTCACGTGAAAATCAATAGGGCTTGTAAACGATACCTTTTTCTTCGACGGCCTAGAGTTGATTGTAAGGCTAAGGGGAAAAAATCCCGTACGCCTAACCACGTGATCAGCACACCTTGGGGACTTGCCTTCCATAGTAACCTAGTTTTGGATGCGAATCGGAAATAAATTTAAATTAGTATTATTTGAGTAGGTATCTAAGTGTATTAAAACCATTCTACAACGCTTTCTTTCACAAAATAAAATTTTGTTTTGTGTTTATTAAATCTTGTCTACAAAAATAACAGAACTACTTTTTTTCCGCGGAAGGCAAGTTGACACGAATCGAAGTGTCGCATTTCTGAGTCATTGAGTCACAGGTAAAAAAGCAGGAAATGTATTCCTCCGCGCGTCCAAATTTACATGTCAAAGGCTGGTGGAAGTAGGCAGTGGGCTTGTCTGCTCCGTTTTGTAGGATTTCAAACAAGTGTGTTCTTTCGTTCGTGAACTCCTCATTTCATGGGATACACACCTCACGTTTGGATTATATAACCTTTTCATATTGGTGAGTACTAATCATCACGAACCTTGTCGTTGTGTTTTGTGTATGAAATCTTGTTATGTTTATTTTTTTTCCAAAATGGTTGTGATCGATTGTCGCGGCTAGCGTGACACGAAAGCAGGCAGCGCCGGTGTTGGGTAGGCTAGGCCTTCCTGCTTGACAGGTAAAAGGTTGCCTTTTCGTGGCCTGCTTGAGGCTACTATTATACCGGTCCCTTACAAAATGGCTTGCTGGTTTTAGGTCCACTGGATGCCTATTTTATGCCGATGTTTTTATTTTAGTATGTTAAAATAATATGTCTTCAATGTATGTGTATAGTGTATAGATTATAAATTGACGAGTTCACAGTTCACACAATATAAAATGAGTACTCAGTAGGTCATGTCAATGATTTAATTACACATTTAATTAACTTAAATGAGAATCATTCATTTAGCATACATTTGAGTGATAAAGGATGTAACTAAAAAGAACCACATTTACGATGTTGACAAAAAATAAAATACAACTCAGGTCTGTAAACTAGCACACGCCCAGTGTCAAGAGATGGCTTTATTGATTGGCATCCGTGAGTAGCGCACGTGCAGTCTACCGAAAGATAAAGAGGTGTAGTTGTGGCGAGTATGCTGAATCTAAATATAGTAACGTATAATTATTAATTAGGTATATAATAAATTCAGGTGTGTAAATTATTGGAGCTCAGGAGATGGTGCAAGACTATTACGGTTGGTTTTGTCTTTATTTCCAATTGTTATTATGTATGGCTAGATCTAATTCAATTACTGTATTAATTAGATTGTACATGGCGGGGGTGCTGTGTCTGAAAAAAACACTGTCTAGTTTAATCACTGGGCAACGTCTGTGGTGTATGAAAATGTATGTGGCTTACCAGAGAAGACATAATGTTTAACACTGTATGTGGCTTACCAAAAAAGTCACAACGTGTAACATTGAGTATTACAAAAACAGCCTTAGTATATAATAATGTATGTTGCTGTATGTGGCTTACTAAAACAAAAACAATGTATAACTGTGACTTACAAAAAAAAGTGACAATGGATCCGAGGCATATATGCTGTATGTGACTTATTAAAACCTTGACAATCTATCAAACAGCAACAAAGTATAACTCTGTGTGTGACTTATTAAAACCTTGACAATGTATCAAGCTATATGTGTCTTACTAAAACAGCGACAATGTATAACGCTGTATGTGACTTATTAAAACCTTGACAATGTATCAAGCTATATATGTCTTACTAAAACAGCAACAAAGTATAACGCTGTATGTGACTTATTAAAACCTTGACTCTATGTATCAAGCTACATGTGTCTTATTAAAACAGCGACAAAGTATAACGCTGTTTGGGGACCTACCGATACAAAATGGGACGTGAGACTTTGTGCATCATATCTTAAGACGCACTTGCAGACCGGAAGGCTTACGTGCAGACGAACCATATCACATACAACAAAACCGGCAAATGTACGCGCGTTGTCCGTTCACCTCTATGAATACATTACCCTAACTGCTCAGTCATTTGTAGCAGTGTTGTTGAAAACCTACCAGGAATTTTATCGAGTTACATGTGTTGTCTTTGAGACCCATCAAGCATCGGGTGATGTGCGCGAACAGGTTTTGTCCTCTAAAGTTCATCTGGGCAGTAATTTGAAGGTTGCAATCAACGTGTGAAGGACTGCTGCATATTTCAACAAACTTTTTTCTAAGAATGTAATTACATCTTATTAACACGCCGGCACGACAAGTGTCGTGACAGTAGCGTGCTCGTTTTTTTTTCTGGAAGTGTCAATGTAAAGGTGAGGGATGCTATAACCGCAGACAGAAAAGGTACGCATGTGCCAAGCTCTGAGACATCAAGTATATAGGCTTCGTTGTTTCGAGTGAAGTATAGTGTCTTTTCGCGGGAAGTATGCCCCAACATCAACTGTATGAAAACGTATATCTCTACATTTTGACTGAGCATTGTGTTACTTCCATGCAGTGTTTCTTTCAGACATTTATCCTCAACGGGAGGGGGGGTGACTGGTTAAAGTTTGTATTTTTTTCTGTATATTTTTTCTTATTGCGTTAGGGGAGGAGGGGGGGGGGTATCTCCTCAGAAGAGATTACTAAAAGAAACTCTGCTTCCATGTTTTAAAAGCCCAAATTAAAAGCAGATGTTTTTCTTTTGCCTTTAGCCTTTTGAGTGCGGTTTAGCTTAGGTTTTCATTGGTACGGTTTAACATGGTCAAATCGCACTATTACATGAAGGGAGCTATACTTTTCGTGCAGCTGGTAAAACGAAATCTCTAACAGGACGGTAGCCGCCAGTACCCCGTCACTCCTAAGGATCAATTCAGGTGTTTTCAAGGATCTACTCAAGTTTTTTTCTTGTCGACTACCTGTACGTCAATAGGACAACATTGTCCTGGTCGCATTCAGCAAGAGAGAAGTTTTAGATCGCTTTCATGCATTTTATGTTACCGTAAAAAAAAAAAATCTTAGGTAAACTGTTTTCGACGCAGTCATGCGTAGCCGGGTCTTAGGTTTTCACACGTTGTTAATATTATAATTAACCCAGTGGCGTAGTGAGGTTTCAAGGCGCCAGGACGCTGCTATGGAATTTGGCGCCCCCTGTGAAACAGATCTCACTCGCTAGAATGTGTGTAAAGTATGTGTAATTTACCTATCACGTGGTATGTTGTTATTTTTGGCATCCATTGGGAGTGCGCCGCGGGGTATGTGACGTATAGTTTTACAGACGGAGTTGAATTGTGGTGGGATGATGTGTCCACGATAACGTCAAACCTCATCCCTGTCGTTAGCTGTCTGCCTAATGACTTGTTCTGCTTACCTGTGACTCGCCCTACGTACCTGTGGGGCGGGAGAGGTGGGCATCATTAAAACGGGCTTAATTTCCGGAAATATCTGAAACATTACTCACGTTCTTTTCCTGTGGTAGTCTGACGACGTCATCTTTAACCACAGCATTCGACAGCAGAGAAACCCTGCGGCGATGCATGCAGAGTTTCTTCCAGGCATCTCTTCGGGGGGGCTAAGCCCCCCCGAAAATTTTTTACCGCCCCCCCGAACGAAATGAAATTTATATAATTTATATAGAAAATATATACTTTTAACAGTGTCCGCCCCCCCGAAGAAAGTTTACCGCCCCCCCGAAGATTTCAAGTGCCCCCCCCCCCCCCCGGAGAAAAAAGTCTGGAAGAAACACTGGATGCATGTAGCTTTGTTACTTGACGCCTACACTTAGACTATGTTTTACAACCAATATGACAAATGAAAAAAAAAACCTTAATCCTACCATTCGGAGTTCAACGCAGACTTTTTTTTTTCTTTTTGCTAATTTATATCAGATTCTAAAGAATCTATTCATGTCTGAATTCAGATTGAACAGATTCCCAGAAGTGCCGAGTACCAGGAATTTCCTGAAAGACTTTTCCCGGAATAGCGGGGTAAATTTTGTTGAACATCAACTTGATATATTGCATCACTTACATGGGGGGAGGGGGAAGAGATAAGATATATCCCACCGTATTTGGCATAGGCTCAAGATTTTTACTACAACGGCCCTAGTTCTTTACGTTTTTTGGCAGGAGGCCACACCTGGTCCCTACCATGTCACTCTGATCTGGAGTGTCGAAAGTGGTTAATGGGGGAGTGTAGATATTTACGTACACGGGGTTCTATGCTCCGTTGATCAGTTAGGGGCAGAGAGTGGTAGATGTAGATATTTACACTGGGTTATACGCTCTGTTGATCAGCTAGGGCGCGGAGAGTAGATCTAGCCTTGCTTGATATCTACCTCGAGTTTAAGGAAGCAGATCCAGGTATGCATGTGGTATGTTAAGCTTTGTTGAACAGCTTTAAATGAAAAAAAAAACAATATAGATGGCGCTGCTGAAGTGTATTTATAATTCAAGGTAATACATAAATCCATACTCCCCCAGCCCACAACCCCCTCCCCACATATTTTCGTTTTAGAACACACTTTAAAATGTACTACAGAACATTGTGGGGATGTCATTTCGTGTTAAACCATGCGTTACAGATGCCGTAGAAGTTTTTGTATACAGCATCTACCATTCTTCATCTACCCCTCCCTCCCTACCACACTTTATCACCCCGTCACACCTATGTGAAAGTGTGATTTACCGGCGGAAGGATACATACATTTCAACCGCCATCTCGTCATTGTACTCGGGCAGCTAGGTGGAGCACTGTATGGACACCTCTAGACATAGCCTCGCCTAGTCTACGCATCTGTCTGTAACACCACAGCGCTACTTTCTTCAGCATAGAAGAGTTCCGACTTTAAAAGTTGTTACGTTATCAGGAGTATATGTGGTTCTGTGCTGTAAATCTTGGAGATTGTGTGTGAAGGGGGAGGGGGTGAAGTCTGAGTGGGTTTTGTCGTCAAGAATAAGATTCCCTGTTTATTGTCGTCTGCGTGGTTAAAATCTTAGGGCGGTTTATTGAATAGTCGCGTCATTAAAAAATGATGGAAGAACAGTTAAGTGGGAAGCGTGCCGGCAAACGTGCTTAAGAATTCATGATGGTATCGACCATAGCCTAGCTGCACGCTACAACCACACTACATGACTACACTCACATCCCCACTAGCTTCTATTAGCTAAAGAACTATGCTACATCTCCACCTCCAACGTCTCCACAAAGACTACATCTCCACGACTAGCACCTACGTCCTCATGACCACACTATACCTATGTCCCCACAATCGCGATCTGTTTGCTTTAACAACCACACCACACCTACCACCCTGCCATACATGCGTCCCCACAGCCACACTATACCTACGTCCCCACAGCCACACTATACCTACGTCCCCCACATCCACACTATACCTACGACCACTACAAATCAATCTGTTAGCTTTAACAACCACACCACACCTAAGTCCCCACAGCCACACTACACCTACCCCACACACCACACCTACGTCCCCACAACCACACTACACCTACGTCCCCACAGCCACACCGCACCTACGTCCCCACAGCCACATCTACCAGCCCAGTGAGTCATGTGTCCATGTCGTCTCCTAACAGTCCTTATCTCGGCTGTAAATCTTACTGCCGTCCATGTAACGGCCCGTGGGTTTATTGTTTGTTACAGCCCGTGGGTTTATTCCTTTATTACGTGTAGTTTTGTAGCTGCAGCAACTGGAACAACTAACATGGCTGTAAACAATCGATTGGATCCATTCTCCCTAGCTGAAGGTTTTGTTTTGTTCCGTGTCAATCGTTAATTTTATTTTTACTTGGTTCAGGTGAATCACAATACATAAGTGGTGAACCAGCGTGGCTGATAGGCCTACACATCTCAACCTACCCCCTCCCCCACTCCACTCATACACAAGTTTATACATGACGATATATGATTATGCATAAAGACGAAACGCTACCCCAGCCTAGGTACACTCCTGCGCAGACTTTTGTTTTTTATAGGGGGTCGGCCAGTGCTGCCCTGTTATAATGCCTCTGCTTCTAGATAAAACGTATGTTATATTACACGAATTGTTATACACAAAACTTATTACTACATTCAAACAAAACGTATTATATTTCGAGACTATTTATTGTACACAATACTTATAATAACATTCAGATAAAATGAACGTTAAATATTTATCGCACGTTATTGTTATCTATATCATCAATCATCTTTTTACCGTGCGTGCCCAAGAGACATGGTGCAGATGAAGTAGAGTTCATCTGTTTCAATGACCTAACATACGAAGAGATAGTGTGGTCAACACTTTGCTCAGCCGCCTTTGTTTCCCTAAGGGATCATCCACTTATGACGTCCACACGCGGGGGGGGGGGGGGGGGGGGGGGTCCGAAAAAAACTGACTTTTGTAGACGCATATGGACTTGTATAAGGATTTTTGTGGACGGGGGGGGGGGGGTCCAAAAGGATTTTTGTATAAGGATTTTTGTGGACGGGGGGTTCCAAAATCCAAAAAAATTGTGGACGTCATAAATGGATGACCCCTAACGTGAGTCAGATATCCATTAGTGGACTCAACAACGCCCTGTAGACTTGAGTCCCTGATCCGAACTCGAGACTTCCGGGTTAGCATTCATAAGCTCTACCATGCGGCCACGTGTTTTATAATAGAAGACATTTTTTACTTTGTACAACAGCGGTCCGAAAAGTTTTTTTTCCTAAGTCACAATGTATTCTACATGGGCTAGGCCTTGACATTTTAATCAATGTATACTGTAGTATGTCTTACGTTTAACCTTTGCACTTATTTGTCTAGGGTCAACATCTGCTCTTGTATTGTCTGAGGGTGCAACCTTTCTCCCCACCCCTGACAAGGCCCTACATGTAACCTTACACCGACCTTATGTCTGGGGTCTTATCATGCACGCTCGTCCTCCCTCTATTCATTAATTAACCCTCTGTTAGACAACGCCCCGCCCCCTTCTTGATAACCCATTACACACAAACCTCCTATTGTTCTCATACCGCCTTTGTTTTATGTCATCCATCAGGCTCACCAGACAACCAGAGATTGGCGTACCATGGGCAGGACCAGTTCCAGACTTAGTACCACCTAACCTGGAAGCGTCTCATCCATTTGGTTACAGCACTTACCCTGGATTAAACAACAACAACAACAACAACACATCCATGTCGCCCGCCTCCTAGTTTCTGGAACATTCGAACACTGTCCAGGTAACCATGGATACCGATGAGCTGGACTACCTGCTGCCGGCCAACTGCCCGAACCCTTATTTCGACACCTGGGACAGACACAACAGCATCGCCTTCTCCACCGCCGCCAAAGGATTACGCAATGCCCCGGGGGAGAATAATTGTTTCGTCAATAGCGCCGTCCAGGTATGTGTTTTTGTTTTGTTCGTGAGGAAGTCTGGCGCTGGTAGCCAGGATCTGTTTGTTGTGTATCGTCTTGTCGTTTGGTGATATATCATTCGGTGGGTGATGTACCATCTGGATAGTGATATACCGTCTGTTTAATGATATACCATCCTGATAGTAATATATCATCTGGATTATGGTATATTATCTGGTTAGTGATATACCATCTGGATAGTAATATATCATCTGGTTAGTAATATGCCATCCGGATAGTAAAATATCATCTGGATTGTGGTATACCATCTGGTTAGTGATGTACCATCTGGATAGTAATATACCATCCAGATAGTGATATACCATCCAGATACTGATATACCATCCAGATGGTAATATACCACCCAGATGGTAATATACCATCCAGATGGTAATATACCATCCAGATAGTGATATACTATCCAGATAGTGATCTATCATTTGGTTAATGATCTATCATCCTGATAGTGGTATAATAGTTAATAGCAATTAGTTATATACCATCCGGTTAGCGATATACCATCCGGTTAGCGATATACCATCCGGTCAGCGATATGCCATCCTGTTAGTGATATGCCATCTCCCAAAAACCCCCTGCAAGAGGCCGTCATAAAATCACGTCAGTTTATCAAACACATGTTTCTATCCCCGGCTATCCCTTCACTGAACGTCACCGGGAAGTCAGACCATCATAAAACTGTCGTTACAAAGTTCTAAATCTTCATCAGCTCCCCCCCCCCCCAAATTCACCCACACGCGCACAAATTAACCTAAATTCTACGAAATGTGCTAGCTTTTTGAAGAAAATCAAATTGTATGATAGTCATAGTGTGTATGGCGGAGACAGTGGGATCAGTAAATTAGCCGTCGTCAACAACAAAGGGCAGATAACTCTGTGGTCAATGGTAGCCTCTCTGTGAAAGAACCTCGAACGTTATCAATGAAGTGCAACGGTTAACACATAAACATTAGATAACAACTTCCGTCGTTAACAAGATTATACCATTAGGCCTGTAGTTCGCAAGATTATACCATTAGGCATGTAAGCTCACAAGGTTATATCATTAGGCCTGTAGTTCGCAAGATTATAGCATTAGGCCTGTAGGTCTCATGTGTGCCGAATTGCTAGACTGTCTAATTGTTTATCGTATCAACCGTTTAAGTTATTACGGTTAGCGCTTAAGTTCCGTAGTGTTAGTTTAATTTCCTCGCTCTGCACAAAACATAGAATAAGATTTTTTACACACAAAAAAACTCGGATATCGTCGGAGTTGCCAGAAAAAAAGCCGCAAATGCTGGCCAAAATTGTATCTACACCAGAATAAATTTCTTGTCGTTACCAAAATTGAACCACCGTTTTATTTTTAACGGCTGCGTTTTATTTCGGCCCGACTCGGGCAGGCGTTGATCAAAGTCTCCCGCAGACGGTTAGTCAAAGCTGCCAGTCGGCTGTGGTCAAACGTCGCAGGCCGAGTCAATAAACCTGGCCGTATGAACTGGACAAACACATTAGCTTTGATTGCCTGCAAGGGTCGGCTAGCTTGAGACAAGGGGGCGTTGACTGGGGGTCTGGCAGCCTGGTCTGTTTGTTGTGTGTGACCAACACAATGTTGCTGGACATTCCTCCCACGATGGTCAACATGGATAAACTCGCATTTTGAAATAGACACGTTTTATTGCTGGGCATTCTTCTCTAAGCTGGTCAATATAAATATAACATTTTCAAATAGGCGCATTTTACTTCACGGCATTCTTTCATTAAGCTAGTCACAATATACCCAAAATACCACTCACATATTTCAATAGACTTTTATTTCTGGGTATTTTCTTTCAAGCTGGTCGCCACGAGTATATTCAGGTCGAAAATAGTACTTTTTACTTTTTATAAATAGTATTTAATTTTAAATACCAGTTTCTTACGAAATTTTTATCATTTAAAATTTATTTTTCGTTGGTTGTCAGTCTGGCCTACGCATGACATGAGTACATACTTTACTGCACGATATTATACTGCAAGCCCAAAAAGCTAAACTATCGCAACCCACTACTTGTGTGGTAAAGTTATCGTATTGGGATTTTTGTTATGTGCTCATCTTATGTGACCTATGCACTGTCTTGACATGGGAATCTTATGTGACCTAAGTACTGTATGGACATGGGAATCTTATGTGACCTACCTTCTGGACATGAGAATCTTATGTGACCTATGCACTGTCTTGACATGGGAATCTTATGTGACCTACCGTCTGGACATGGGAATCTTATGTGACCTACCTTCTGGACATGAGAATCTTATGTGACCTATGCACTGTCTTGACATGGGAATCTTATGTGACCTACCGTCTGGACATGGGAATCTTATGTGACCTACCTTCTGGACATGAGAATCTTATGTGACCTATGCACTGTCTTGACATGGGAATCTTATGTGACCTACCTTCTGGACATGAGAATCTTATGTGACCTACCTTCTGGACATGAGAATCTTATGTGACCTATGCACTGTCTTGATATGGGAATCTTATGTGACCTACCGTCTGGACATGGGAATCTTATGTGACCTAAGTACCGTCTGGACATGGGAATCTTATGTGACCTAAGTACCGTCTGTACATATGAATCTTATGTGACCTATGTTAAAGTACTGTCTATACATATGAATCTATGTGGCCTATGTACCGTCTGTACATGAGAATCTTATGTGACCTAAACACTCCATGGACATGTGGATCTTATGTGACCTACCGTCTGGACATGAGAATCTTATGTGACCTAAACACTCCATGGACATGTGGATCTTATGTGACCTACCGTCTGGACATGAGAATCTTATGTGACCTATGCACTGTCTTGACATGGGAATCTATATGATCTAAGCACCCTCTGGACATAGGAATCTATTTGACCTATGCATTGCCGGGTCCCAGTAACAACAAGACTATCAGGACGAACCGATAAGAGGTACGACCTCAGGCATAGAGAGAAGACAATAGGTCTTATCTACGTGTGTGAAGACAGCCTGTCTTATCTCTACAGCTCCGGTCGTATGGTTCCACTTGTACTCTTAACGGTATCTGAGCATGCCAGATAAAATATCTTTTGATTTTACACGGAAAATAAACAGGCCGCGCTCTGGTAGTGTTTTGGCACTTATGCGCTTATGTGGCAAACAGGTGAAATAATTGTTTTGTTGTGACCAGATTTTTGGACGAGGCGCTGTGAAAATTATTAGAGTGTAGAAAATGTTAGGGAGGGGCTCAGGGGGGCAATGCTGGTATCTGGAATATGTAACATGACGTTCGAGCAGACAAACTTTCAAACATTGTGTACCGAACGTTTGTTGTGTTGTTGCCACGTGTCCTGTGTCCACGTGAAAACTTTTACAGGGAGAGAACTAACAGTTTCATGTAAAAATGGCCGTTTATTGTTATTTATAACCAAGTTTAGCCTTGAGACCTTGAGTTTTGGACATTATTTTGTCTGGTTTAAACTTGTTGAAAATCTTTCCCAGTAAAACATATTCTTTTTAAAATTATTATTTTTCATTTATTCAACAAAGTTAATTCAGAATTCTGGTCTCGCTATGGAGCGTGTACCTGGCCAGTTGTGACAAGTCTCCCTACACCAAGACTTACGTAGTCCCACTGCCGTTTTTAACAAGGTGCTCACATTTCCGTGTCCTATCGTCCATACCTAGACGCGGTCAGATTTCCGGGTCCTATAGTCCATACCTAGACGCGGTCAGATTTCCGGGTCCTACAGTCCATACCTAGACCCTTATGTGACCAGTGGCCTTGTTCGTGAATTTGTTGTAGTCACGTGACGGTAATACAACCCGCACTTGTTGTGGCCACTAATCCCCCACGTAGATGTGTAGACCCCTATAATATTTTTTTTCTATTACAATAACATTTTGTTTACCGTGCAAGAACCAGCCATTCATAACTGGATCAAGTTGTTTTTTTTACGTCATACGTATGGGTCAGTGTAACACGGAGGGAGTTTGGAAGTGCGTACGAGTGAGTCATTCGGATTGAGGATTGTGACGTCACGGAGACACCTGTTGGAGCGACGCGTGACAGATGGAGTGGACGAAACCTGTTGTTTGCCTGACGATATCGGGTGTGTGTGTGTGTATGTGTGTGGAGGAGGTTTGGGGGGGGGGGGGGGGGGCTGCAGGATTAAACACCGCGTCATCTTAAAACTGCCATCACACACGTCAACACTTTCACCAGTCAGTTATAAACTCGAAAATTGTTCTAAAAGTTATTATATCAGTCATGGAGGTAATAAAATAATTTACCGAGATGTTACCTCGTAGTTACTGTCGGGAAACTAGGCACAAAAATAGCCACCATTATCACCCCGGACGCGTTGGTCACTTGCAATCAACCAATCAGAACCCAGATCTTCTTACAAGTGGACTACTTTCTTTTCTCCTCAATTCCTACTTGTTGCCCCCCCCCCCCCATCCCCCCTCACCCCCAACCCTTGACCGACGCTGTGTACTTCTCGCCCCTGGGTTTGCTCGCCCCCTGTCTTTGTCCTGTCCTGTTGACCGTTCAACAATTGCTGCTTTTCTCCCCCCCCCCCTCCCCTCAGGCCCGTAGCTGACCCATCTGTCCAGCCTAACCAATGAGACGCGCTGTTATCATCTTGTTTGTTCTCATATTTCTCGTGCTAGCTACAGTTGGGGGGGTGGGGGGAGTGATGAGGGAGGACAGTTTGCCTGACCTGCAGCCCCAAACAACAAAGGTTACCCGCGTGCAATGGGTAGAGCCTAGAGAGCAAGGCGTCCAGTTGAACGGGTCTTATGCCGAAATAACAGAGCGTCCATCTTAACGGTTGTTTTGTCCCCTCGCTAGGGTCATCGGTCATGGCACGAGAAATGAACTCGGTTCAGGGTTGTTTTTTTGTGTTTTTGTTGTTGTTGTTTTCTATATGGCAAAAAAAAATGATCGCATCAAGATTAACATTAAATCTGCCCT